ACACAAAGATCACGAAGTGGCCCATAGTTGGCTCCAGGCAATCAAAATATGGTACAGGAATTCGCCGGCCCAACGGGCCAGAGGCGTGCTAAGACTAAGATCTCCGGTGACTGGTAAACAGTATTTCTGGTTCGCGCGCGCGGGGCGGCCACTGGGGGTCCCTGGATCAAAAGTACCCCGAGAGGAGCCCGGGACACGCCCGGGACACGCCCGGGACACTCCCCCAGATCCTCCAGGATCGCCCCAAGAGGGCCCCAAGAGGCCCCCAACACAATCCAAGAGAGGTCCGAGACGCCCGAAGATCGCTCCACGGCGCCCACGATGGCCTCCAGACGGCCCAAGAGGTCTCCAAGATGACCCAAGAAGCCTCCAAGATGCCCCAAGAGGCCTCCAGGAGCACTCCCAAGAGGGCCCCTAGAGGCAAAAATCAATGCTTCTTTTTTAGGTTTTGGACAGATTTGGGCGTTTCAACCTTTTCGGTTCCCCGACGCCCCTAAACGGCTCAAGAGGCCTCCAAGATCGCACCAAGAGGGCCCAAGAGGCCCTCAAAAGGGCCCCAAGACGGCCCAAGACGGCTCCAAGACGGCCCCAGAGGCCTCCAAGACGGCCCAAGAGGGCCCCAAGAACGCCCCCAACACGGTCCAAGAGAGGTCCGAGTCGCCCGAAGATCGCTCTACGACGCCCAAGATGGCCTCCGGACGGCCCAATACGTCTCCAAGATGGCCCAAGAAGCCTCCAAGATGCCCCAAGAGGCCTCCAAGAGAACTCCCAAGAGGGCCCCAAGAGGCATAAAACTGTGCTTTCCCTTGGTTTTGGACAGATTTGGGCGTTTTAACCTTTTCGGTTCCCCGACGCCCCTAAACGGCTCAAGAGGCCTCCAAGATCGCCCCAAGAGGGCCCAAGAGGCCTCCAGGACGGCCCAAGAGGGCCCCAAGAACGCCCCCAACACGGTCCAAGAGAGGTCCGAGTCGCCCGAAGATCGCTCCACGACGCCCAAGATGGCCTCCAGACGGCCCAAGACGTCTCCAAGATGACCCAAGAAGCCTCCAAGATCCCCAGGAGGTCTCCAAGTGCATTCCCAAGAGGGCCCCAAGAGGCAAACAAACAATGCTTTTCCATAGGTTTTGGACAGATTTGGGCGTTTCAACCTTTTCGGTTCCCCGACGCCCCTAAACGGCTCAAGAGGCCTCCAAGATCGCCCCAAAAGGGCCCAAGAGGCCCCCAAGAGGGCTCCAAGATGGCCCAAGACGGCTCCAAGACGGCCCAAGAGGCCTCCAAGACGGCCCAAGAGGGCCCCAAGAACGCTTCAAGAACGCCCCAAGAGGGGGTTCACGAAACAGAATTTCGAGCTCTCGGCCCTGCGAGGCCCCCGGGAGGCCCCAAGACGCCCCCAAAGGCCCCAAGAGGCCCCCAAGAGGCCCTCAAGAGGCCTCAAGAGGCATCCAAAAGGCCCTGTGTAGGCCTCCAAAAAACCCTCAGGAGGCCCCCAGGACGCCTCCAAGACTCCAGCCAGACGCGACTTGGGAAACGCGGGTCGGGGTGGTCCTCCTCCCCCGCGTTCGGCCTCCAGCCTCGAGCCTCGACCCTCCACGACGACGACGACGACCGGCGGGCGGCGGCGGCGGGCGGCGGCGGCGGCGGCGACGACGACGACAAAGGCGCTCCTCATCGCTCCTCATCCCCCTCCTCCTTCCTCCTCCTCCTCCTCCTCTTCCTCCTCCTCTTCCTCCTCCTCGTCGTCCTCCTCCTCCTCCTCCTCCTCCTCCTCCTCCTCTTCCTCCTCCCCCCATTCAGAATGGACGACATCCGACGACAAAGGCGCCCCTCATCGCTCCTAAATTTCCAGCTCCTCTTATCTCGTGCACCTTCCTCTTCCTCCTCCTCCGTCCTCCTCCTGTCCTCCAGTCCTCCTTCCTCCTCCTCCTCCTCCTCCTCCTCCTCCTCCACCTCCTCCACCTCCACCCCCTCCTCCTCCTCCTCCTCCTCCTCCACCTCCTCCTCCTCCCCCGTAATGCAAAAAAGACGGCATCCCGACGGCAAAAAAAGGCTCTCCTCCATCGCTTCTCATCGCTTCTCATCGCCCTCCCCCACCACATCCTCCTCCTCCTCCTCCTCCACCTCCCTCCTCCTCCCCCTCCTTATCGAACCTCCTCCTCCTCCTCCTCCCTCCTCCTCCTCTCCTCCTCTTCATCCCGTCCTCCTCCCGTCCTCCTCCCGTCCTCTCTCCTCCTCCACCTCCTCCTCCTCCTCCTCCTCCCCTCCTCCCTCCTCCTCCTCCTCCTCCTCCTCCTCCTCCTCCTCCTCCTCCTCCTCCTCCTCCTCCCCCCCTCCCTCCTCCTCCTCCTCCTCCTCCTCCTCCTCCTCCTCCTCCGCCCCTCCCCCTCCTCCTCCACCTCCTCCTCCTCCACCTCCTCCTCTCCTCCTCCTCCTCCCGTCTCCACCTCCTCCTCCTCCTCCTCATCCTTCTCTCCTCCACCTCCACCTCTTCCTCGTACTCCTCCTCCTCCTCCTCCTCCTCCTCCTCCTCCTCATCCTCCTCCTCCTCCTCCTCCTCCTCCTCCTCCTCCTCCTCCTCCTCCGCCCATTCAAAATCGACGACAGCCGCTCGGAAGTGTCCCTGGATTCCTCCGGGGTACACAGATTTCTTCGCACATCGATTTCCGGCGCTAAAGAGGGCTCCCAAGAGGCCCTAAAGAAGGCTCCAGGGCCGGCGGAATGAGCGAAGCGATGAAATAATGTTCTGGGAACACGAAGAACACGAAGTGGCCTACAGTTGGCTCCGGGCATTCAAAATGTGGCCTGGGTGTTCTGGGAACACGAAGAACACGAAGTGGCCTACAGTTGGCTCCGGGCATTCGAAATGTGGCCTGGGAGTGGTGTTCTGGGAACACGAAGAACACGAAGTGGCCTACAGTTGGCTCAGGGCATTCAAAAAAGTGGCCTGGGAATGGTGTTCTGGGAACACGAAGAACACGAAGTGGCCTACAATTGGCTCCGGGCATTCAAAATGTGGCCTGGGAATGGTGTTCTGGGGATGGATTCTTAAGGATTCCTAAGGATTCCTGGGGCTGCCGGTTTTTGCCGGTCTTGTCCGGATCCCGCCCAGACCCCCCTGGGGAGTCATGAGGCCTTTTTTAACCCCACTAGAAACCTATCAGTCTTCGCTGTTAGGTAAATACCCAACCAAGGAGGGTTGGGGAAAAACACAAAACAAAAACCGCCGTAGGCATTGATTCCACACGATGCACAGCGAGCCCGCCGTAGGTGCCGAAGTTTCGTCAAAGCAATGAGGGTGGGTCGCGGATGGGTCGCGGGGTGGGTCGTTGGGTGGGTCGCGGGGTGGGTCGCGCGTGGGTCTCTCATGTATTGCGGGGTGGGTGGCTGGGTGGGTCGCGGGTGGGTCGCGTAGTGGGGTCGGTCGCGAGGTGGGTCGCATGTGGGTCGCGGATGGGACGACATCAAGAGCAGCAGAAAGCAAAGTCCGCGCGGCGGAGCCCCACTTCAGCCACGCACCCAGGAACGGTGTAAGACCGCTCGCCCCCCTCACTCTTCCATGTATAATATCTGTCTGTATGCATGCATGTATGTATGTATGGATGTATGCATGCATGTATGTATGTATGTGTATGTTTATATGCATGTATAGGTGTGTGTGTGTATGTATGTATGTATGTATGGATGCATGTACGTACGTACGTATGCATGCAGGTATGTGTGCGTGTATGTTTGTATGCATGCATGTATGTATGCATATATAAGTATGCATGCCCGTATTCATGAACGCACGTGTATACATATATATATGTATATATGTATAGGGTATGCGTACTTGTATGCATGCATGCATGCATGCATGTATGTATGTATGTATGCATGCATACAGGCATATGTATGTATACATACATACACGCATATCTATGTTTCAAGAGAGGTACGGACTGCGTATGCATGTATGTCCCAATATCTAGACTATTATACTCTCTTGATTCTCTCTGCTCTCTACTGGGGGGCCCTGGAGCCAACTACCCAGAGGGGTCCGCCGGAACTTTTCACCAAAACTTGGAACGGAGAACTTGGGAACCCAACCGCCTGCCGACATCGGCAGAACACTTCCGCCGCAATCCACTGAAAAATCTGTCGAATACGGGGACCCCTGGACCCGGAACCAGGGAAACCAGGAATCGGCCTGGCAGCTTCGACAAATCCTAAGCAAATCGGCGAGGACCCTCTCAGCACACTGCTGAAAAGAAAACCAGCATTGTAAAATCATGATTTGTGCGCAAGGCTCCGGCTGAGCGCCCGGCCCACCCCACTGACACGTTTCATGGCGCGACGAGGGGGGGGTGGGGGTGTTCATAAGGACGAGGGAAGTTAAGAGGAGGAGGATAAGGAGGAGGAGGAGAAGCAGGGAAGGAGAAGGATGAGAAGGAGCGCATTCCACGCCACCTCTGTGATAGAAGGAAAAAGGAACCAGGATGTTGATGATGATGGTGGCGCGCCCCCAAATGCGGTCCTTCAAAATATGACGGAAAACGTATCACCAAAGAGATCAGCTGGAGAGTCGGTCTCTCCCGCCCATGAATTCGAGATTCGATGATTTAATCTGCAAGCTTCCATACAACTTGTTTGTCGCGAGATCCTCTCGGATGAAATCGATTCGACCACCCTGACTGGTCCCACCAGTCCACCTTGCCTCTGGCAGACCTCGTGAAAATTGTGCTCGAGACAGTGCTTGAATTTACCCAGGCTCGCCTTTGCAATGCAATGCAGTCGTGGCCCTGCTCGCGCATGGCCCGCACAGCCATCAACACCCCGTGGCGCTGAAGGTGGGAGAGCCACAGCAAAGCATGAAGATCTTCTTTCCCATGTTTACGCAGGCGTGGGCCACGGATAATCTGTCAAAAGTGGCGCGTGCTGTCGAGATCTCTGGGCACATTGCTGGGATAATTAAGCGTGCTTAGTTCACGCTCCACACGCTGAGGCGGAGGAGTGAGGAGGAGGATGACGAGGCCGAGGACGAGGATGAGAGGAAGGAGCTGGAGGAATCCCCAGACCCCTGTCTGCATTGGAGCGGCCAGTCACCGTGGCGCCGTGCAGGAAAATGGCGCCGAGTTCCGCTGTGACGCACGCTGGCGGGGCCAAGGCGCAGCCATGCAAAGGCGCAGTCACTCAAATTCCGCTCGTTCGGCGGCGCGCCAACGGTGCGTGCCGAGGGAGAGCGACCTCCTCCCCTATCCTCGTTTTGGCTCACCCCAACCTGGTTCACCACGGACTCCTCCCCTATCATCATTCGTCTGCGCCTCCCTCCTCCTCCCCCCTCCCCCTCCATGACCTCCATACCCCTCCCTCCCCAGACATGCGATGTCTTGAATACTTCAGCATGGCGTCCATGGAAATCCCGACCCCTTCCCTAGGGCCACGTTTTCGTCCCGGGTCGTTTTTTGAAGGTTCCGGGGCTGGCGAGGGCCCCGGGAGGCCGGAAACTGCCAAAAACCTTCCGTCGTCTTTATCTCCCTCCGCCCTCCACCACGCACCCGCCCCCCCCTCGAAGAAATGCGCGGAGTGGCGCCGGACCAAAGGAATCGGCGGCTGGCGCCGCCAAGCCAGGGCAGTCTCAAAGTGGGGGGGGCACCCGTTCTTGCTTCCTGCTGCTGCTGCTGCTCGTCCTTCTCCTGCTCCTCCCCCTCCTCCTCCTCCTCCTCCTCCTCCTCCTCCTCCTCCTCCTCCTCCTCCTCCTCCCGATCCTCCTCCTCCTCCTCCTCCTCCTTCTCCTCCCCCCTCCTCCCTCGTCTTATTTTTTCTTCCAAATACATGTCGCCGCCGGTTCACCCGACGCGGGCTTCTCCCGGCAGATTGGGAGAAGCGATTCAACTAGTGCTTGATGTGTATACACATGTGTATATATATATATATATATACGTATACATATGTATTCACGTATATATGGTTCCCCTCCTCCCAGCATCCCTCCAAACCACCACAACAACAAACTACTCACTAATCGTGTTCTCCTCCTCTCCCTTCTCCCTCCTTCTCCTCCTCGTCTCCCTCCTCCTCTACCTCCTCCTCCTCCTCCTCCTCCTCTTCCTCCTCTTCCTCCTCCTCCTCCTCCTCCTCACCGCTCGCGCCACAAGCGCGACAGGAAGGCTGAAAACCATTGTGTTTCCAGGTTCCCCAAGCCCTGCAATTGGAAAACGCAATATGTTTTTGATTATCCCGATTTGTTTTTGTTTTGTCCCAGAACTCCTGGAAAGACTGCTCAATTTGCGCAGTCTCCCCAGGAAAACTGAGCATCAAAAAGACATGATAACATATATAACGAGACACCTGTCCTTAATTGCAAGACTTTCGGAAACGCTCAACGCTGTATCGTTTTGATGCTTACGATTTGTCATGTGCCTTCACGTTTCCTGGGGAGACTGTCCAGCTTGCGCAATCTCTCCAGGAACTCTGAACATTGAAAACAACTTTTGATGTACACACACAGCTGGCGTGACAAATCGCAGGAATTGGGGAACCTGATAACACAATGGATTTCAGAGACCGCTCCTCTCTCTCTATCTCTCTGTCCCTCTCTTGCTCTTTCTTTCTCTTTCGCTATCCTGCTCTCCCTCACTCTATTAACCAAACCTCCCTCTCTTCCCATGACGCTGTGCCCTGTCCCCCGTATTCCTCACGCAACTCGCCTAATTGTTCATACTGTTGAAATTGGCCTTACGTCCGCCCTCACTCTCCTCATGTCTTCCGCTCTGATCCTCGTTGCTCCCTTCCGCTCCCGTCCCTGTTCCTCGTGTGTTTCGTAGTTTTCTCTAGCTCCTACTACGGGTCCAACTACAAGCAGTAGCAACATTTCCAGTGCAACTCACAGTCAAGCTCTGACTACTGCCCGTTAAAAAGCCAACAGTGCAGCTGCCGCTCCAATTCCCAATTTTCCGCAAACCAGAACTATCGATATAGATAAGGCTGCTGCCTCTATTGCATCACCCGCCACACTTCCCAACCCATATCCCACAACAGCCAGCAACGCAATTCTCACTACAACTCCTGCGCCAATTCCTTCTAGATGTCAGTACAACTTCCACAACTTATCGCAACATAACTCTTATTATAACCCGTGCCAAAACCAATTACGCTACCGAGGAACCCCACATACTTAATTTAAATCTTCTGTGTTTGCTTATGTGTATAATATATATATATATATATATATATATATGCACAATCCTGCGTTCTGGGCCCTCGTCGCGAATGCTCCCTGCTAGGCTTTGCGCCAATGTCGTGGATAGCGGCAGAGCTGAGAGACCACCCCCTGAGCACCCCCTGTGGTGTCGAGCAAGTGCCACGCCTGCTAGGCTTTGCGCCAGTGTCGTGGATAGCGGCCGAGCTGAGAGACCACCCCCTGCGCACCCCCTGTCTTGTCGAGAAAGTGCCACGCCTGCTAGGCTTTGGCGCCAGTGTCGTGGATAGCGGCCGAGCTGAAAGACCACCCCCTGCGCACCCCGTGTGGTGTCGAGAAAGTGCCACGCCTGCTAGGCTTTGCGCCAGTGTCGTGGATAACGGCCGAGCTGAGAGACCACACCCTGCGCACCCCGTGTGGTGTCGCGAAAGTGCCACGCCTGCTAGGCTTTGCGACAGTGTCGTGAATAGCGACCGTGAGAGACCACCCCCTGCGCACCCCCTGTGGTGTCGAGAAAGTGCCACGCTTGCTAGGTTTGCGCCAATGCCGTGGATAGCGGCCGAGCTGAGAGACCACCCCCTGCGCACCCCGTGTGGTGTCGAGAAAGTGCCACGCCTGCTAGGCTTTGCGCCAGTGTCGCGGATAGCGGCCGAGCTGAGAGACCACCCCATGCGCACCCCCTGTGGTGTCGCGAAAATGCCACGCCTGCTAGCCTTTGCGCCAGTGTCGTGGATAGCGGCCGAGCTGAGAGACCACCCCCTGCGCACCCCCTGTGGTGTCGAGAAAGTGCCACGCCTGCTAGCCTTGCGCCAGTGTCGTGGATAGGCCGAGGTGAGAGACCACCCCCTGCGCACCCCCTGTGGTGTCGAGAAAGTGCCACGCCTGCTGCTTTGCGCCAGTGTCGTGGATAGCGGCCGAGCTGAGAGACCACCCCCTGCACCCCCGCGAGAAAGTGCCACGCCTGCTAGGTGCGCCAGTGTCGTGGATAGCGACCGAGCTGAGAGACCACCCCCTGCCCACCCCCTTTGGTGTCGAGAAAGTGCCACGCCTGCTAGGCTTTGCGCCAGTGTCGCGGATAGGGACCGCGGTGAGAGACCAACCGCTGCGCACCCCCTGTGGTGTCGAGAAAGTGCCACGCCTGCTAGGCTTTGCGCCAGTGTCGTGGATAGCGGCCGAGCTGAGAGACCACCCCCTGCGCACCCCCTGCGGTGTCGAGAAAGTGCCACGCCCGCTAGGCTTTGCGCCAATGTCGTGGATAGCGGCCGAGCTGAGAGACCACCCCCTGCCCACCCCCTTTGGTGCCGAGAGAGTGCCACGCCTGCTAGGCTTTGCGCCAGTGTCGTGGATAGCGGCCGAGCTGAGAGACCACCCCCTGCGCACCCCCTTTGGTGCCGAGAAAGTGCCACGAGCTGTGCTGTGCTGTGCTGAACTGAGCCGTGCTGGGCTGTGCTGAGCTGTGCTGAGCTGTGCTGTGTGCTGAGCTGAGCTGAGCTGTGTGCTGTGCTGAGCTGAGCTGTGCTGTGCTGTGCTGTGCTGTGATGCGCTGTGCTGTGCTGAGCTGTGCTGTGCGAAGAGTGAGGTGTGTCGCGGGTGCGGCGCGGCAGGGAAGAAAACCCGAACCCCACGAAGCATGTCGGGAATAGTAATGCTCTCGCAACTCTCACTACACGTCCTGCCAGAACCATTGGTACCGTTCCTGCTACAAGCTCTGCTGGCTCTTTACTAGATCCCAAACTACAGCGTCCAGTGCAACTCTGCAACCCCTACGTCAAGATCGCTCAACTCCTGTTGCTGAAGCCCTGGCCCCATCTTCTGTTGCTGCCACCTGTACCGTTCCTATTCCAATCCGTACTCAACTCCCTAGTGCAATTCGCATAACAAGTTTCACTACAGCTCTTCCTACAATTCCTACAACAGCTCCTCCTACACGTTCTGGTACAGTCCCTATCGCAAATCCACTAACAGGAACAAGTATAGGTTCCAACGCAATTCAGACCACAGCTCCTGCGACAATTACGCTTACACCTCCCAGTAGATCTCAGAATGCAACCCGTACTGCGACTGCTTCCACATCAACTAAAACAGCTCCCACTACAATTCCTATGGCCAAACCAACATCACACATTATTACAACTCTTACTACAGTTCCCTTACGCAACCTATCGTCAAGCTCCCTTTGCAGTCCGCACCAGGAGCAAACGATACGTTTCTCGTTGCGGCTCATACTGTGACGTCTTCACTTCAGGTCTTGCAGAAATCGATTCAAATCCCAATTGCAGCCAGTTGCGCGGCGCCCCACACAGCTCTCACTACATGTCCTACAGCTGCTTTTGCGACAGCTCCGGCGACGAATCAATTTACGTATGGTAGAGCAGTGTTCAGTCCAGTACAGCTCAAATTACAACTCCTACTACAATTCATGTTCCAATCAATTTTACAACTGCCGCAACTTGCGCTACAACTCATACCAGCGACCGTTCTACGATTCCTGGTGCAACTTCTTAAAAGAAATGTCAACGTACTTCCTGCTGCTACCAGGAAAGCATCTGCCGCCACAACTCCTTCGACAACTCCTGCAACAACTTACTCCAACATCTACTACGGCGCCAACCACAACTTGCCACTAAAAGCGCGGACCCGCTTTTCACCACAATTGCTGCTACAACTCCGACTGCAGCTCATGCTCCACATCCGACTGCATCAACTGCAACCCCTGTTGCAAACCCACAACCCGCCCGTATTGATCCTACGGAAGCCTGGAGCACCGACCCTCCGACATCACCGGCAAAATATGAAACCGCGACAGATAGGACAGATTTCTAG